GGAAGCGTAGAAGGCCCTATCTTTCTCCCTCGGAGCGGTGGCTGGTTTCAAACTGCAGACCTTGTGGCTAGCAGCCTAACTCATCACCACGACACCACCAGTAGCTTAGGGGATGTAAGAATCTCCTTCCTAGGGCAGGGTTGGCTCTGAGAAAAGGCTCTGTAAAAGATCAGCAGAGATGAGCAGAAAGGACATTGCAGCAAAGGGGAGGGCATTTTAGGGCACTGTCCGAGACGCGTGGAATGACTGAAGATGAGGGGGTAAGGAAAGGTGGTGAGGAAACAGAAAGGATGTTGAGATTTTGGCAGTGGGTAGCAGGGGACTACTGTGGACTTCCAGGCCTGAGGCAGTCATCCTAGCTTGTTCCAGGGCCAGTAGTCAGTCTGGCTACACTGTGGGGGGGGAGGACGGGGGCTTGCTTAAGGAAAGGGGGTCCCCACAGCAAGAAAACTAGCTGGGCAGTTGTCCAACAGTCTAGGTGGGTGAGGGGCTTCCAGGGGAAGACACTGAGAGTGAGCAAGAGAGCAGAGATTCTAGAGGCTTGCGGGGCAGGGGGAGCTGTCTATGGGAAGGGGGCACATAGGGTAGACATGAAGGTTGGGAATTGGGAGCCCTGGAGGATAAGGAATGACTTAGTGCTTTAACATGTTGGCTTTGACACCCCTTGGTACACTCAGCTAATAACTTGAACGTCCAGTGCTTGTCAAGCACTGCGTTGCGTTAGGCCAGCGGTTCTCAATCTTCCTCATGCCGCGACCCCTAGTTCCTCATGTTGTGGTGACTCCCCAACCATAAAATGATTTTTGTTGCTACTTCCTATCTATAATTTTGCTACAGTTATGAATTAGGTGACTCCTGTGAAAGGGTCGTTCGACCCCCCAAAGTGGGGGAGACCCGCAGGTTGAGAACCGTTGCGTTAGGCTCTGCAAAGGATAAAACCAAGCCCCTCCCTCGTGGATCTTATATCCCAGTGGGTCGAGATGGATGACAGACCGGAAAACAGAAAACTTGTCAGTAGTTGTTAAGTGATAGGGGAAGAACGGTAAAGTAGACCTGGGTGGAACTACCCGACAGAGAAATGGGAGGGGAGGGGGCAGCAAAACTCAAAAGGAGCCGGGAACAGGGGGTCTGAGTCACGAGGGAGTGCCTGCCCCTGGGTGGCCTGTGTCCATGCCTTCCTCCCATGGTATGCTCAGAGAGCCCAGGGCCAAAGCCTGTCTCCTCGCCCCCAGGTCACCATCCTTAATGGCTCCAACATTCGATCCCTCTACAACTTCTCAGGGGAACAGGTAAGGACACACTCTAACTACCAAAGGCATCTGAATCCAACACCTTCAGCCCAACTGCCCAGCCTTGGCACTCCCAGTGCCAAGTTGTTCCAGTGTTCTGACTCCCTGGCTTTGACTCAGTGCTTCCCCTTCGCCCTCCCCAGATGGCCTCCTACTTTGGCTACTCGGTGGCTGCCACAGACATCAATGGGGATGGGTGAGTAGTGGGAAAGGGAGGGAGGTGGAAGTCGGGCAGGCAGTCCAAGAAGACTTGCTCTCCAGGACTTTGCTCTGGGTGCCCCTGGCTCCCAGGCAAGGAGAGGGCTGCTAGCTAAAGGCCAGGACCTCTCAGATCCTTTGTCTTTTGGGGAGTGGGCGGGAGAGGGAAGCCGGGGCCCAAGATGCGAGACTTTCTGGAAGTGGGGTTGGAGGATTGGTGGCAAGGCTGGGTATCTGGATACTGTGTTTCCCTCCCCACCCCAGGCTGGATGACCTGCTGGTGGGGGCACCCTTGCTTATGGAGAGGACAGCCGACGGGAGGGCCCAAGAGGTGGGCCGGGTTTACATCTACCTTCAGCACCCCACTGGCATGGAGCCCACGCCCACCCTCACCCTCACTGGCCACGATGAGTTTGGTCGATTTGGCAGCTCCCTGACCCCGCTCGGGGACCTGGACCAGGATGGTTACAATGGTAAATACCACAGGCTCAGGTGACTGGGGCAGGCTCAGGGTCAGACTGGATTGGGGGGTTCTTGACTGTCACCTGAGTTGCCCAGCGACTTGCCTAGAAGTTTGCAAACTTGAACCCCAAGGTCTGAGTCTTTGGGGCTGACAGATGGGGGATAAGAGAATTGGACCCCTGGATTCCTGACAGCTGTGTGTGCCTTGCAGATGTGGCCATTGGCGTTCCCTTTGGTGGTGAGACCCAGCAAGGTGTGGTGCTTATATTCCCTGGGGGACCAGGGGGCCTGGGCTCTAAGCCCTCCCAGGTTCTGCTGCCCCTGTGGGCAGCTGGCCACACCCCGGACTTCTTTGGCTCAGCTCTGAGAGGAGGCCGGGACCTGGATGGCAACGGATACCCTGGTGAGTTGTGCCCAGGCCCCTTGTCACCGTAAATTTCCCGTCACAGACACCCATGCCCCCTCTGTGCCTCTCCCGGCCCTTCCATCTGAAGACAGTTCTAGGTGAGGACCACCAGATGGCAATATCTCCCCCACATCAGCCTTTTATTAAAAAGCATTTTATTGGGTGCTCTTACAGCTGTTATCACAATCCATACATGCATCCATTGTGTCAAGCACATTTGTACATTTGTTGCTATCCTCCTCCTCAAAACATTTTCTTTCTATTGGAGCCCTTGGCATCAGCTCATTTTCACCCTCCCTGGCTCATGAACCCTGGATAATTTTTTTTCATGTCTTATACCCACCGCTGTCTCCCTTCACCCGCTTTTCTGTTGTTGTCCATCCCTCTGGGAGGGGGTTATATGTAGATGATTGTGATAGGTTCCCCTTTTCTCCCCCCACCTTCCCCTTCCCCTCCTGGCATCGCTACTCTCATTATTGGTCCTGAAGGGTTTATCTGTCCTAGATTCCCTGTGTTTTGAGCTCTTATCTGTACCAGTGTACATGCTCTGGTCTAGCCGCATTTGTAAGGTAGAATTAGGATCATGATAGTGGAGGGGAGGAAGCCTTAAAGAACTAGAGCAGATGTTCTCAACCTGTGGGTTGCAACCCCTTTGGGGGTCAAACGATTCATAACAGTAGCAAAATTACAGTTATGAAGTAGCAACGAAAATAATTTTGTGGTTGGGAGTCACCACCACATGAGGAACTGTATTAAAGGGTCGTGGCATTAGAGGTGTTGAGACCCACTGAACTAGAGGAAAGTGGTATGTTTCAGTGGTGCTCTACTGCAGCCTGACTGGCTCCTCTCTTCCTCATGACCTTTCTGTGAGGGGATGTCCAATTGTCTACAGATGGGCTTTGGGTCTCCACTTCACCCTCTCATTCACATCGATATAATTTTTTGTTCTGGGTCTTTGATGCCTGATACCTGATCTCAACACCTCATGATCACACAGGCTCCCATCAGCCTTCTTAGGCAATGGAACTAAGTCTCTATCATTACAAAAAATAAGGAAGGCTCCTAATTGGGGGCCTGCTGTGAAGGATGGTTTCTCGACTTCTTGCAGATCTGATAGTGGGGGCCTTTGGTGTGGACAAGGCCGTGGTGTACAGGTATGAATACAGAGGCCAGCCTGGGGCAAGTGACCTGGGAATTTCCCAGCATGCTGAGGATGGGAGTCAGGGCAGATGACCTGAAGGTGCTGGGGCTTGGCCAGCAGGTTACAGAGAATCTTAGGTCCACCCACCTGTTATCCATGCTCCACAGGGGCCGCCCCATTGTGTCTGCCAGTGCCTCCCTCACCATCTTCCCCACCACATTCAACCCAGAAGAACACAGCTGCCGTCTGGAGGGAAACCCTGTGTCCTGGTGAGTGGGGGCCCACACGGGACTGGCCTCAAGCCTGGGATACCTCTGTCTGTGGCTGGGTGGGTGGGGGCCCAGGTCTGTCTTACGGAGGGGCCAAATGAGAGTATCCTAGGCTAGATGTGGCTGGGTGGTCAGTGGAGGGTGGGCTGCCTTCCCCCATTGAGGTCACCAGCCTGCTTCTTGGTCTTTCTCCAGCATCAACCTCAGCTTCTGCCTCAATGCTTCTGGAAAACACGTCCCGGACTCCATTGGTGAGGGAGGCTGCCTGGGTCTCCCCGGCACTGGGACAGGGAGTGGAAGGCCTGGGGGGCTGAATCGGTGAAAAGAGGGGAGGCAACGTGCCCTGCCTTACATTCCCTCCCCCACAGGCTTTGCGGTGGAGCTCCAGTTGGACTGGCAGAAGCAGAAGGGGGGAGTGCGCCGGGCGCTGTTCCTGGCCTCCCAACAGGCAACGCTGACGCAGACCCTGCTCATCCAGAACGGGGCTCGGGAGGAGTGCCGAGAGATGAAGATCTACCTCAGGGTAGAGTCCTGACCTCAGAGGGCGGAGGGCTGCCTGGGAGGGGTGGCCACATTCCAAGCGAGGACTTAGACTCTTGCAGGACTGTGCAAGGGGCTGGGGACAGGCTGCCAGGACCCTTGAGTGATGAGAGGGGTCAGGTTTGGACTTGTGAGTCCTCTTGAGCCCTGAGAGGACAGAGAGAGGGGTGCAAGAGGCCGAGGAGCCTGGCCACCAAGCCTGCAGAGCCTCCTGACGGTGAATCCTCTCCCCTGGCCCCAGAATGAGTCAGAATTCCGAGATAAACTTTCTCCGATTCACATCGCCCTCACCTTCTCCCTGGACCCCCAAGCCCCGGTGGACCACCATGGCCTGCAGCCGGTCCTGCATTACCAGAGCAAGAGCCGGATAGTGGACAAGGTAAGGACAGGGCAGGGACTAGGGAGCCGGGAGGAGGGAGGCCAAGGATCTTGGGGGCTTAAAACCCACGAGGGGTGAAGGTCTAAACTGCCCCCCTTCAAGGCTGCCCTACTCCCCAGGCTCAGATCTTACTGGACTGTGGAGAGGACAATATCTGTGTGCCCGACCTACAGCTGGAAGTGTTTGGGTGAGTCAGGGCCCACATTAAGGCAGGCCCTTTCTGCTCTGGGTGGGTCTCACAGCCTGAAAGCAGACGCTTAAGTCTTGGGACCTAATAAAGTAGAGAGGAGACTACTCTAACCAGCTACACGAGACAGGCTGTGTGATCCTGGGAAGTGACCTAAATTCTCTGTGCCTAAACTTCTTCCCGTGTAGAGTAGGAATGACAGCATCTATGAGCCCTGGCGGCGTAGTGGTTATATGTTGGGCTGCTAACCTCAAAGTCAGCAGTTCTAAACCACCAGTCGCTCCATAGAAGAAAGATGAGGCTTTCTGCTCCCATAGAGTAAGTATGGGGGGGGAAAAGTTAGGGGAGGGGGGGATATTGGAGAGGAGCTGATACCAAGGCCTCAAGTAGAAAAAAAAAGTTTTGAAAATGATGGCAACATATGTATAACTGTGCTTGATACAATTGATGTATGGATTGTTATAAGAGCGACATAAAGCATCTTGCTTACGAAGCCTGCCCTAGAGTTGTGCCCCTTATCCTGTGACTTCTGACCCGCCTCCTCCAGGGAGCAGAACCGCGTCTACCTGGGGGACAAGAACGCCCTCAACCTGACTTTCCACGCCCAGAACGTGGGAGAGGGCGGCGCCTACGAAGCGGAGCTGCGGGTCACCGCCCCTCCAGAGGCAGAGTACTCAGGACTCGTCAGACACCCCGGGGTGAGAGGGGTCCTGCTGGTAGTTGGTCAGGACTATGGAGGGTGGGGGGAGAGACCCTGCCGGAGGGAAGCCCCAGACCTGAGCTGCACCCCAACCCCTCTTCAGAACTTCTCCAGCCTGAGCTGTGACTACTCCGCGGTGAACCAGAGTCGTCTGCTGGTGTGTGACCTGGGGAACCCCATGAAGGCCGGAGCCAGTGTGAGTCTGCCAGAGACGGGGCTGGGGGGCGGACAGGGACCAGCCAGCCTGAGCCCCAGTCTAACAGCCTGCCCTACCGTGCAGCTGTGGAGTGGCCTACGGTTTACCGTCCCTCATCTCCGAGACACAAAGAAAACCATCCAGTTTGACTTTCAGATCCTCAGGTAGGGCAGGGCGGTGGGTGAGGCCCAGGGCGGAGCCTACGGGGTCGGAATCCAGGCTCCACTCATTCTGGTCTCCGGGATCCCACAGCAAGAATCTCAACAACTCCCAAAGCGACTTGGTCTCCTTCCAGCTCTCGGTGGAAGCTCAGGCCCAGGTCTCCCTTAACGGGTCAGTGCGGGA